CGAATCTGTTGCACATGAGTTTCAAATTGATTCTCAACCATGTTGCAAAAATTTATTAGATATAAAGCAGCTTCTGATTTATTTTTTAAAAGATAGACCCAAGTGCAACGAGAGTAATCATCAACAATAGTTAAAAAATAATGTGCACCTGTATTTGAAGCTGTAGCATACCTACCCCAAATGTCACAATGTATTAAGGCAAAACAACGTGAAGAAAAATTATTGCTAATGGGAAAAGGCAATCTTGTTTGTTTTGCTCTATGGCAAATGTCACAAACATGTTTGAAATCAGAAGGACAAGAACATAATGAAGGTATTTTAGATAATCTATCAAAGGAAATATGACCAAGCCTCTTGTGCCACAATTCAAACGACGCAGTCTCCTTCGGCTTTACTCGACTAGCAGCTGGAACATGCCCAAATTCACAATAGTAGATTCCCTCATGCAGTTTACCCATTCCAATCAACTTCCTCGAGGTTAGGTCCTGAAATACACAGAAGTTAGGGAAAAATATAGCTGCACAATTGAGTTGTTTAGTTATTTTGCTAACCGAAAGGAGATTACAGTTAAATTGGGGAACACATAAAACATTGTCTAAGGTGAGGTCTTGGGTTAGTTTTGCTTTTCTTATATGAGAGACATGTAAGGAGGTTCCATCAGGTATGTGGACTGGTGCAACATAAGGTATGGTTTTAGTAAGCTTGGAAAGATTTGGGGTCATGTGGTTTGAGGCGCCATTATCAATAATCCAAGGAAAAGATGAGATTTGCATCTTACCAGCCATGTTTGTCGAATGATTAGTGATGGAATTACCACCGAGAAGTGTGAGTAATTGATCATACTGTTCCTTGGTCAGTCCGATAAGAGGAGACTGATTTTGATTGCCATCTGTTCTTGTTGGATCATGGTTTGCTTTAGCTGCAAAGATTAATTCCCTTCCATGACTTTGACTTCTCTGTCCATCACCCTTGCCTTTTGTCTTTGTGCCTCCAGTCTTCCAACTTAAGGGGTACCCAATAATCTCATAGCATCGGTCTTTGGTATGGCCAACTTTCTTGCAATGATCACACCGTGCCTTTTCGAGATTGTTCAATCTTCCACTCATACTTGACTTTTTTGCTAAGGCAGTGGCTTCAATTACTGGTCCTCTTGAAGCTGTTATAGCTTGTTGCCTTTCCTTCTTGGTTGCCATTGCATATACCTTGTTTAAAGAAGGTAATGGTTCCAAATTCAAGATTTGTGAGTGTATAGTGGAAAAGTTATCATTCAAACCCATTAAAAACTGATGAACCTTCTCTGTCTCACGTGCCTTTGTGTACTCCTTCGCTGCCCCACAAGTACACCCACATACACATACTGGAGTAGGTTCATATGCATGTAATTCGTCCCAAATTGGTTTTAATTTGGTGAAGTATGCAGCAACTGATCTGTCTTGTTGAACCATGGTGGCTAGTTCAAGCTTTAATTCATGCACTCTTGTGGTGTTTCCTTGAGAAAATCTCTCTTGCAGATCATTCCAAACCTCTCTTGCACTGTCAGCATAAGCAACACTATCATGCAGTTCTTTTGAAATTGTGTTTAGAATCCAAGACAGTACCATTGAGTTACACTTCGTCCATGATGCATAATTTGGTGAGTCTATTTCTGGCTTTCTCAATGTCCCATCAACGAAGCCCATCTTGTTCTTTGCATAAAGAGCGTTTTGTAGTGCTCTCTTCCATGTGTGATAATTCTCCCCTGTCAAAGGGGATGTTACCAAAATCCTTCCAAGATCATCACTTGGGTGCAAGTAATATGGAGAGTCTGGGTCGCTTGATTTCAAAGCTTCCCTCGCTCCCCCTGTCGTCTTAGGATTGGCCTTTGTGGTTGTGTCTTCAGAAGCCATGAGAAACTGGTTGTCTGCAGCAAAAACTTGCTGTCACGATCTACTGTTGTGGCAAGATCTTGCCGTCAAGTACCTACTGAAAATCTTGCATGTGGGCTCAACACAAGGCTTGCATCCTACCTAAAACCAATTGGCAATAGGTGGAGTGACCTTCCTTGTATTTAACTCACAAGTTTCTTACTTTTATACTCGATGTGGGATTTTCCCACTTAACATGCCCCCTCACGTGCAGGCCCGCTATGAATGTCAGGTCCTGTCACGTGGGTTACGCCTCCTTTAAATACAGGCCTGGTAACAACTTCGGGTCTTGTCAAATGGGCTAACACGGGCTTCTCAGGGCAGAACCTGAGCTCTGATACCATAATAAACTAGGGCAGTAACAACCGTATATGAATCTGGAATACAATACTTTCATTATAAACAGCATTGCACCTATATACAACTGGGTCTGCTACCAGAAAAGGAAATAAAGGGAAATACAGGAAACTGTACAATGCCAATCAATGCTAATCAATACAAAATATTCTTTTGACCATTCCATCCATAATCACCGCCTTATACCATCCATAATCACCGCCCTATAATTTAATTAAATAAAAAAGATGCTTCTTTCTTCCTCAACAGTCAATCCAAGTCAAGCTCACCTCAGTTCCTCCATTTTCCTGTATTTTCCAGTCTTGGCCTCTGATTTTCACTTACATTACCCAACCTTCTTATCCTCCCATTTCCATTGTTGATTTTGGCAGGATCTCGCTGTATTATGAGCAAGATTATAAGACTTGTTTAGGTAAACCTTCGCATTTCTCTCATTTTTACTATACATGCTTAAGATCTTAAATATAGTACATATCTTCATGTATTTGTTGATTTTTAGCATGTTTTTGATATTTTTAGCAAGTTATGCATACAAGAATGACTAGAATCACGGATACGGAAGAATATGTGAGTGATGAGAGTGGGTTTTGACTGGGTAATGCTTGGTTGCCTTCTATTAATTTTGTGTAATTAAACTGTATATGAAACACTTTATGAATTAGAAAATGGTAACAAATAAATGGTTCTGAAGGGTTTGATGGAGGCGAAAATTTTGAGGAATTGTCAAGGGTAATGTAGTAAGACGAATTTTCAAATACTTCAGTTATTCTAAATAAAAATTAAGATTTATGTATTTCAGATTGAACTGAATATTAAAAAAGTGTAGTTGTGAAACTAAAATTACTAAGTTACATTTTAATAATTTAAGCAGTGAGACTGTATTTTTAAAGTGCAATTTACCTAAAAAACCATTTTTTGTTAAAAAATATGCCTCGTTGCAATTATGTCCTAATCCGATCAATTAATTTATGCTAGTACTCCCTCCGTTCACTTTGTGCTTTAGGTAGAAGAATGTTCAAATCAATCTCAACTCCCGAATTATATATAGAAGGTTTATGATTTTGCATGTTGTACATACGTTAATTAATTGAGTGGGTTAATTGTTGAACAGGATCACTGGGTAGAAGTACCAGCTGCCATTTCCACCGACACTAATTGCATCTGCCATTGTCAAGAACAAGACATTCCAGATGATTCCTATAAGTAAGTACTCTTATCTTTTGATGGATTAGTTGCTGCAATTTAGTTTTTAGTTTTCATTTTCCGTTGGTTTTTCTTCTTCCTTTCCAAAAACAAATTGTTTTTAAAGAATTTTATAACCAAGTCTAATAATTTTTTTAATGTTTATTCAGTCATTTCTGGCCTGATTTTGATGAAGAAGAGAATGATGATAGAGGTGGTTCCTCCTCATGTTAGGGAATTTTGGAAGGAGTGGGAACTCGTAGGGGCAGCTCTGCTCAGCCTTACACTCCAAATAGTTCTCATTAAAACGGGCAGCCACAGGAAGTACATTCGTGGAACTTGGTTTAGAGTTATTGTTTGGCTTGCCTATATGATGGCTGACTCTGTAGCAACTATAGCCCTGGGTATACTATCAAATGACCTCGGGCAAATATACTATGAGGAAGGTTTTAATAATTTGGGTACTAATGCTTTGAAATATGATGATAGAGGTCAGATGAATGGGTGTACCAAGGCTCATACTAAAGAAGGTACTGAGTTCAGAGCATTCTGGGCACCCTTTTTCCTGCTGCATTTAGGTGGTCCTGATACAATCACTGCCTACTCCTTAGAAGATAATGAGTTGTTCCTCAGGCACCTTAGTGGACTAATAGTCCAGACAATTACTGCACTGTACATCATCTTGCTTGCCTGGACAAGTTCTCATATTTCTTACCTATCCATTGTAGTGATGGCAGTAGGCTGCATCAAGTATGGGGAGAGAACATTGGGCCTTTGGAAAGCAAGCTGGAATAAACTCCGAAGTACTATCATCACTGATGCAGATCCTGGCCGAAACTGTTCAAGGTTTATGGAAGAATATAGCTTGAGAGATGAGGAGGAGTTCTTTGTGGAAATAATAGAAACGGAGGGTCAGGGTAACTTGGATGGAATTGTGCCTGAACCACCTCCTGATATGGTCAAGGTTCATGACCTATTTCAGATATTCAAGCGTTTGTTTGTAGATCTAACCCTTAGCTTTCATGACCGACACAGAAGCCTAGCTTTTTTCATGAAAATGTCTGATGAAAATGCTTTCAAAGTGATCGAGATTGAACTAGGATTCATGTTTGATCTGCTGTATACAAAGGCAGCAGTCATTTATACTCGCTGGGGTTTTGCTCGGCGTTTCATCACTTTCTCCCTCACCTGCTTTGCTTTTCTGTCTTTGATCCTTGATGACAAACTGCGGCAAAAAAGCAAAACGATTGATTTTGTAGTCACTTTACTGTTGCTTGTTGTAGCTGTTTGGCTAGAAATATATGCAGCTATCGTTGTCCTTGTCTCGGATGAAACCAGAACTTGGTTGATTAAGCGTTGGAAGAAGACTAGCACTGCACAATCATCAAACAGTTGTTTTAAAAAATGGTTCAAGTGGTTTAAGGTGAAAAGGTGGTCAAAGTCCATGGCACAGTACAGTCTATTGCAGCTTAGCCTTAAGGAAAAATATAGCATTATTAGTATAATTGAAGAATTTCGTTATAAAAACTACGAAAAGTTCACTGAGGAATACAGAAAGCTGATCTTTAAACATGTCAAAGAAAAGTTTGATGAGTTGGAAAAAAAGGTAAGACAAGAGGGGAGCAGCAGGAGCGCATTTGATACAGCTATCACGGAGATATGCAGCCAAAGGGGTAAAGACATAATTGAGAAATATCAGAAGATGAAACGTGAGGTTGTTCTTGACTGGAGTATCCTTGAATGGAGTGTAAGTGTTGAATTTGACCAAAGTATCATTATCTGGCACATGGCTACCGAAATCTGCTACTACTCTCAAGAACTTTATGGTGAAGTCGAAGCAAGCAGAGAATTTAGCCTGCACATGTCAAGGTACATGTTTTATCTCTTAACCATTTGTCCCTTCATGTTACCTGTAGGGATTGGGTTTATGAGGTTTCGAGACACTAGTACTAAGGACATGGAATTTCGAGACACTCTTGCTGAGGCCATGAGATTTTTCAAGGAACGAACGTGTGAAGGAACTGGACCTGCCCTCCGTAAACTTTTGAGGAAAATATGGTAAATTTCTTTGTAGGTTCTCAATCTTTCTAACATGAGAAATTTCAATCCTAACCTTCATTTTGCTTCACCTTACTAGTCCTTCTGTTAAGTTTAGAAGTTAGGTATGAACAGCAGTCTTTCATGGCAGTTAATGTTCCCCAAAAACCTTTAATTTTTTGTTCTGAGTAGATATGTTATCACCCATTCACTTGTATAGGGTATCTAGTGTATTGGGATCGCTATTCTCTCC